CTAATCCTTTAAACTTTTCAAAATTAACCTATGTCTCTCCAATCAAATTATAAATATGCGCAAGACATCCATTATGCTTTAAATAAGGAAATAATAGAGAAAGAATACTATATGTTTTCTTCATATATGAAGCATTGTCAGAAATAAAAAGTATAACTTTTTCAAATAGAATATTATAAAACTGTAAAACACTAATAGTAAGTTGTGCAATCAAAGAACTGTCAACCTGATCTAAGTGACTAGTTTTAACAAGCTTAGTTTCTTTTTCAAAACTAAATAGTATATTGACAGCACTTTGTCCACACATAGATGTTTCATCAATCATAACAGAAATACTGTATATTGATCTTCAATTTTTTTTGTAAACTTTCTTGCTCTTGAGCAAAAGCTAATGGAAGATATTTTTCATGCAATTAATTAGAACCAACAATACTACCAGCTATTAAAATTAATTTATTTAATAATTATTATTTATTGTATATATTAATTAATAAAATATATATTTTAAAAAATAAATACTATACAAACCAACATTATAATATTTATTTAAAAAAAATAATTTTAATTTTTCTGCCTTTTCTAAAGGAATATCAGCAGCTGTTAAAGTATATAAAAAGTCTAAATTGATTTGCTCACTTTCACTAAGCAATTTTTGACAAGAAATAATCATAGTTTGTCTAGTTTTTTGTGTTAATAAAGTTTTTTCAAGTTTCATATTTGTTTTATGCTTTTTTGAACAGTGATGATTATCAATAATTGACTTGTGTTCATGCTTGACAACAATTTTACAAAAGTAACAAAAAAGCTTGCCACTATCAGCATAAAATTCTCCTTTATATTCACTTGACTTAGCACGATTATAAGCAGACACACCTATTTAAGCAAATTGAAGATACAGTCAGACCTCTCTAAATGCAATGTGACGGGACTATATATAAAATTTAGTCAAACGTGTACTTAGAGAGGTATTGCATTTAGGGAGGTAAAAATCTATAGATGTAATATTAGTTGGGCCCAAGAGAAGACGTGCATTTAGGGAAGTGTTTCATAGGACATGCACTTAGGGAGGTAGCATTTAGGGGGTCTGACTGTATTTAATTATAATAAGGAAAAAAGTTTACAATATCAAAATAATATAGCTGTTTTATTTTTATAAGTAAATTTTCTTTTTTATTTTGTCTTATAAAAATTTTTAATTATTCTACTATCTTATGAAAACTGTACTCCTGCTTTATAAGAATTTATATATAAACTATTCTTGCGAAGATTAGTATTAGTACATAATTATATTTAACTCAAATAAGTTTAATTTACTTTTTTATTTTGTTTTTGGCATATGATAAACTGTGATTTTAAAGTTTTTTCTATTTTAGGATTACTATAGAAAGATTAAATTTAACAGTTTTACAAGCAATTTTTTTGGCGTAATATTTAACTTGAGAAGATTAGATTTAACAGTTTCACAAGCAATTTTATTTTGAGTATAATATTTAACTTGGCTTAGCTTTATTATATAAGGAAGGAACTTGTAATTTTATTGGTTCTGGACTATGCAGTGTGGTCCAGATTTAATTACATAATCAAAAAATTGCTTTTTTATACGCAATTATGTGTACAAATTCAAATTATACAAAATCACATAAAAAATGCGCTATAAGGCAAATTATGCAGATATTATGCCAGATCATAATCCTAGACAGTGTTGGCTTATGACCTTAAATGACCTATATGACCTTTATGACCTGTCATAGGTCATTTGGTCATAACGAAGG